GTAAGGACATGAAAAGGAGGGCTGACCTAAAAGAGAAGCCTAGCTGGAGAGGCTGGGGTAAGGTACAAGAGGGACAGTAAAGTTTATCCACAGGTAAGGAGGCTACTATCCTGTCAGAGATATGGAAACACAGAAATGAAGGCTTTACAGTACATCAGGGACCCTGGGGTGCTTATGGAACCTGAGGGGCGGGTCTAAGGGCCCAGGAGAGTTGGAGAACTAAGCTGGGCTAAAGCAGGCGCCAGAGAGCTGTGATGCCAAGGAGGGTCCATGCCATCTCTCTTCCTCCCCTGCCCTTTGCAGGTCCCCACACTGGTGGAGGAGCTGATCGCAGTGGAGGTGTGGAAACAGAAGGTGTTCCCCGTGCTGTGCAGGCTAGAGGACTTCAAGCCCCAGAATACCTTTCCCATATACATGGTGGTGAGCTGGGCCTTCACAGGGTCCTGAAGACGAAAGCTAGCTAACAGCCCCCGTCCCTCCCTCACAGCCCAGCCCTGTTCTCTTTGGCAGGTACACCATGAGGCCTCCATCATCAATCTTCTAGAAACCGTGTTCTTCCACAAGGTGAAGCACCAGCCTTGTCAAGAAGCCATTTCTGCAGGCCCGAGCCTGGTGGGATGGATCTGTGGAGAAGGGTATCGTCAATATCGAATACTGAAATAGCTCCTCCCTGCCCCCCAGGAGGTGTGTGAGTCAGCAGATGACAGGATACTGGACTTAGTGGACTATTGCCACCGCAAGCTGACACTGCTGGTGGCCCGGACTGGCTGTGGTGACCCATCTGAGGAAGAACGGTCCCAGGATAATACCCCTATGCAAGTAAGTTAAGGTTTCCTGGAGGTGGCCAGACCTCGAAGTGAGGCCTCCAGAGGCAGGGGTGAACGCTATGTGCCCGCGCTCCCCCCACCAGGAGCTGCAGAAACAGGCCGAGACAATGGAGTTTGAGATCTCACTGAAAGCACTCTCGGTGCTTCGCTACATCACAGACTGTGTGGACAGGTGGGCCACCCTCTAGCACCTGGGGCGGGCAGCAAAGGGCTGCACTATTCTGCTTGTAACTTCTGTTACCCCTCCCCCCTTACCCCTCCCCCCAGCCTTTCCCTGAGTACCTTGAACCGCATGCTCAGTACGCACAACTTGCCCTGTCTCCTGGTGGAGCTGCTGGAGCACAGCCCCTGGAGCCGGCGGGAAGGAGGTAAGGCCTCTCCCACCTGCCAGGACTTAACTGGCTGCTTCCAGAAGATCCTCATGGTTAATGGAAGCAGACAGCCGGACAGCCCGCACACTGAAGACACCAGGATGCCTCACCCAAAATAGGGCTAGATTTTTGACTCTGAGGCAGACAAGTCTGGGGGCCCGGGTTTTCTAACCTTGCCAGGCAGTTCTCAATCCTCCCATCCACACACTCCGGAGAATACAACGCCTGCATCCAGTGAGCTAGCTCTCCTCCCCAGGCAAGCTGCAGCAATTTGAGAATGGCCGCTGGCAGACAGTGGCCCCCTCAGAGCAGCAGAGACTAAACAAGCTGGACGGGCAGGTGTGGATCGCCCTGTACAATCTGCTGCTCAGCCCAGAGGCCCAAGCCCGATACTGCCTTACAAGCTTCGCTAAGGGGCAGCTGCTCAAGGTGGGGAGCTCAGCTACCCTACCCAACCCTTCTGCCACCACCCCCACCCCACCCCCACTGCATCCCTGCCTGACCCTGTCCTCTTTCCACAACATCGGCTTCAGATGACATGGGAGCTAGTGAGACATAAACCCTCCAAGTACCCCCAACCCAGCTTAGGGACTCCCTCCGGCCAGGACCCGTTTCACAGTGGCCTTCCCTGGATCCCTTTGCAGCTTCAGGCCTTCCTCACGGATATACTACTGGACCAGCTGCCCAACCTTGCTGACCTGAAGGCTTTCCTGGCTCACCTGGCCCTGGCTGAAACCCAGCCCCCTAAGAAAGAGCTAGTGTTGGAACAGGTAGGCACCCAGACCGTTAGTAGCTCAGGGCCATGATCCACTTTGCCAGCTCCTTCCTCTCCTCTCCCTTACTTTCTCTTAGATCCCGGAAATCTGGGACCGGCTGGAGCGGGAGAACAAAGGCAAATGGCAGGCCATTGCCAAGCACCAGCTGCAGCATGTCTTCAGCCCCTCAGAGCGGGATCTGCGCCAGCAGGCACAGAGGTAAGGCCTGCTGCGAGCGTGGCTCAAGACAGGTGCATGGGACACAGAGGGCTTCTGTGCCCCTACCTGTCAGATCCAGTCACATCTTCTTGGCCCCTACCCCAGGTGGGCTGAAACCTACAGGCTAGACGTCCTAGAGGCCATAGCTCCAGAGAAGCCCCGCTGTGCTTACTGCAATGCCGAGGCCTCCAAGCGCTGCTCCAGATGCCAGAGTGTGTGGTATTGCTGCAGGTAAGGGGACCCCAGGACCTCCGTCCCCCTAAGCTCCAACCCTGGGTCCTCCCACATGCACTGTCACCCTCATGCAACCCACCCCCCCTGCAGGGAGTGCCAAGTCAAACACTGGGAGAAGCACGGAAAGACGTGTGTTCTAGCAGCCCAAGGTGACAGAGCCAAGTGAAGGCTGCAGGTTCTGAGGGCCGACGGAAGAGCTCACCCAGAATGTGACTCTGAACCTCAGGAACTCTGCCTGGCCCCCCTGTCAGACCTCAATTTCCCTGGCGGTGAGTACAGCTGAGTCAAGTAGAGCTGCAAACCACCACCAGTCGACGTACAGTCAAGCAAAGGCTCTTCACTTCCTGCCCCACCCCGCGAATACGTAGAGAAGAGAACCAGGCCGCAGCATCAGCAAGCGGACAGACAGGGCTGGGGGGGTGTAAGCAGGGGCCGGATGTGGAGACCCTCTTCCTTTATCTCAGTAAAGCAGACCTCATGAAACCCATCAGTGTGGCGCTTTGCCCTTGTCGTTGGGGGCGGGGGAGGGGACAAGGGGCGAATACTGGAAGCAAAGCCTGGGAAGGGGCTCTTTGAAAGCGTCCACCCCAGTGCCGTGCCCCGCCCACAAGTCCACACTGTCAGCTCGCCTCGGTTTCCATTGCGTTCTCCGCCGCTCTTTCCCGCCGCCCTGCCTTGATCCTGGGGGCGGTGCTGAAGTGACGGCCCGCCCTGCGGCCTCGCCCGCTAACGCCCAGTGCTCTGGATCCCCGGTCTGACCGGGCCATGTCGGCGGAGCCAGAACTCATTGAACTACGGGAGCTGGCACCGTCTGGACGCATCGGCCCTGGCCGTACCCGGCTGGAGCGTGCCAACGCTCTGCGCATCGCGCCGTGCACAGCTCGCAATCCGTCACAGCAGCACGTCCCGGGTCGCGGCCACCGCTTCCAGCCTGCGGGTCCCGCCACGCACACGTGGTGCGACCTCTGTGGAGACTTCATCTGGGGCGTCGTGCGCAAGGGCCTACAATGCGCGCGTGAGTAGCGGCCCCACGCAGCCTGCGATCACCGAACGGGAGGTCAAAGGCAGCACCATGGCTGCGGGTCAAGTCGCAGCGGAGGGGGTCAGCAGTGATGATCCTGCAGACCAGGTTCCATTACCTTGCCCCATCAGGGAGCGTGTTTAAGAAAATGGTATATCACTTGTCACACTTCGTCCGTGGCTGGCGCACAGAAGGTGCTGGTTTCAAGATCGTCTTTAAAGCGCCTGGGCTCTTGAAAAGCCTTTGTGCCTACTGTGCCCTGAGCCTGCATTCCGAGGTCCGCCTCTTCCCAATGATTGGCTCACTGTGTTCCCCTCCAAATTCTTGGGTGACCACCCACATATGATAGGGGGCAGAAAAAAAAAGAACCTTGGTTGGGCTCCTTGTAAGTAAGAATTTTGTTGAGTCTTTAGTCAAGGTTTGTTTCGAGTCAGGGATCCAGAGGCTAAAACATGGAATACAAGCACACACACAGTAGTCCTTCTGGGGATTGCCAGCAAACAGAAGTTGGACTCACCCAGGACACTTTATACCCTCCCATCTCCTTGTGTCTAGACCTTCTTCCAGACTTGTTGGGTCCATTGTTGAAAGTGGACCTTAGGCATTAAGGGGTTTTGTTGTTTTGTTGGTTGTTGTTGTTTTGAAATAGGGTCTCACTATGCAGCCCTGCCTGGCCTGGAATTCTCTGTTCAGATCAGGGTGTGACAGAGATCCACCTGCCTCTGCTTCCCACAGTCTGATGTGTAGCTGGAGTTGTCAGTGCTTTGAGCGGTAAAGGTAGAAACTTCAGGGTGGAACTGTAGGCCTGTGCGTGCCTAGAGCTCATCTCATTCACTGCATGAGTATGTCACAAATTCAGATAGTGGACACAACCGTTTGTGACGAAATGCCACATGGAAGCAAGGGCTGTGGTATTACAACATTCTCAAAGAGAAAAAATCGCTCTGAGATGAGAAACGGGACCACTTGGGTGTTTGGGAGGTTGATAACCAAATCAGACAAGTGTAGGGTTTTACTTCAGACAACTTTTGCTGATATAGAAACCTGGGGTGGCTTGAAGTGGAAGAGAAGGGAAATTTTGGCCATGTGCATTTGAAATCTTTATTAGATGTTAAAGTGAAGGTACTACATGTAGGATTTGTTCTAAAGAGGCAAATCAGTGCCACCTTGGGTCTGGAACAGGTGAGTTGTAGACAGAGCTGGGACAGTACCCAGGTGAGAAACCTGGACATCAACTCTTAGACCTGGAGGTTGAGACAGAGCTGAGGAAGGGGCTAGCAAGGAACTGGGAGAAGGAAACCTGGCTAGTGAGTGTTGTCCCTGGGAGCCAAAGGGAGTAAGCAACCAACGTTAAGGATATAGCAATCCCGATAATGTGGACAGAAGGCTAAAGATTAGATGTTGCATTGGGCATTGGCACATATCTGTTAATCCTGGCACTGGAGCAGTTGGTGGAGGCAGGAGGATCACCGAGTTCAAGGTTACTATTTGAGGCTAACCTAAACTACAGGAGACCCTTTCTCAAAAAGCAAAATAGGCTTGTGTAAACAAATGAAGAGGTAGATGGCAAACAGAGGAAGTCGTAATTAAGCGCTTTTGTTTTCAAGTTAATGGCAAAGTGAAGTAATAGCTCTGCGGGGTTAGCAGGGTTAGATCTTTAAGTTCCTGAGGCCTTCCAGTCGGTTTCCAGAGGTACTTCGGACTGACGACTCTAAAATCTGTGTTGCGGGGGGCCATAACCGAGCTTGAGAAAAAGCCAGTCAAGCCCAAACCCGTCGGGCGGAGGCCCCCTGTCAGTGGGTCACTTCGCTGAGCTCCTCCGCCTCACGGCCAGCCCTTTCTGCAGACTGCAAGTTCACCTGCCATTACCGTTGTCGTGCGCTCGTCTGCCTGGACTGCTGCGGGCCCCGAGACCTGGGCTGGGACCCCGCACTGGAAAGGGACACGAACGTGGTGAGCTCGGGGTCGGGGGAGTGTGGGCAGGGAGGGGTCCCGGGGCTTAGTCCCGGCGCCGTACACAACGAACATCCCAATTACCGATTTCCCGGCATCGGAGAGGCTAGCTCTGCTTGTGGGTTTGTCAGGAGCCTACCCCACGCAAAAACGACGGCCCGCAAACCAGTAGCCGCGAAGGCGCGCTCTGGCACGCTGCACGCGCACTTTTCACACCCTGCTTCCGGCCCTGGGGCAACGTCGGTGCGCATGCGCACACGCCCTGCCGCCTCCCCCGGGGACGTGGAGCCCGAGAGGCGGAGCCGAGTTGAGATGCCTCCGCGATGAGGTCACTCCTCGAGTAGTAGCGTGGTGTCCCCGCCCCTCGGCGTTCCCCCTCCCGTCGTCCCCCACCAAAGACACCAGCACTAGACTTTTAGTCGTCTACGTTTGCAGTCCTAACGGTCGCCGCGCGGCGCAGACCTCAGCGCACGCGCGTACTGACTCGCTCACACGCACGCACGCGCCCGGGGCGGTGGTTGGAGGCTCCCCACGCAGTAGACTAGGGATCGGGCGGGCAGGGCGATGAGCGAGGCCGAGACGCCTTCCTTCGAAATGACCTGGAGCAGCACGACGAGCAGTGGCTACTGCAGCCAGGAGGACTCGGACTCGGAGCTCGAGCAGTACTTCACGGCGCGGACCTCGTTGGTCCGCAGGCCGCGCCGGGACCAGGTGGGAAGCCGGGTGGGGGCTGTCGCCGGCGGGCGAGGAGCGGTCGCTCCAGTCCCGCCCGTCCCCGCTAAGTTGCGGCCTGGGGAGTTAGTTGATAGGCAGCCTCCCGGCGGGTCCAGACGAAAACCGGCCGAGAAATGTGTATTGGCGCGGGGCTCTCTCTGCTTCCGGTAGAAAGAAGCTCGATTCCAGCGCGCCGGTACTGAGTCCCCAGGCTTCCCTGACTTGTGGTCACAGACCGGTTGAGCCAGGGGAAGCAGCTCTGAAGCTTGGGTGGACCAGAGGCGGGCGTATTCACCCATGATTAAAGCCAGCCTCAGCCCAAATCGGCGTCTTGATTTCGCATTTGGGCGCTCCTACTCCCTCCCTGGGGGAAATAAGGAAGTGGAGGAGGAGTCCGCCGGGAAGTGAGAAGTTTGTTTCGGAGGTGAATCTGTCACTTCCACTTGCAGTCTTGGATCAGCCAGAAGAGTTTGCAGCCATTGCTGGCCAACTCTGACACCAGCTGCTGGAATGTAGACGATTTTCCGATCTTCCTTCCCTGGTGAAACTTTGATGGGGGGGTGGGGAATCTAGTAAGAGGGCCCTTGCTTTGGACCATAGGGAGCAGGAAGACTATAAAATGCCCCGAGTAGGGTTTCTACTTAAGATTTAAAGTGTGGTACTAGGGCAGGTGAACGTCTCTAGAGTCTCCTAGATGTACCAACTTATCAGAGACTTTTCTGGGAATATCGTGGTTGTGACCACCAAGCTCAGATAACTTGTTCTTGAACCATAATACCTCAGAAGAGTGCAGAGGCTGGGGCATCAGGAGAGTGAGGTGGAGACTTTAAAGTAAAGGTTAGTAAACTTAGCAGCAGCGAAGTAGAATTCCTTATCCAAGCCAAAAAAAAAAATTGTCTGTGGTGTTGTAGGAGAGAATTGATACAAATTTTTCTTTCTTTTCTTCGAGTCAGGGTTTCTCTGTAGCTTTGGAGCCTGTGCTAGAACTAGCTCTTGTAGACCAGGCTGGCCTCGAACTCACAGAGATCCGCCTGTCTCTGCCTCCCGAGCGTTGGGATTAAAGGTGTGAGTCACCACCGCCCGGCAATACAAATTCATTAAAGATGGGCTGCTACTTGACACCCCAAAAACCTTAGTCCAGACTGTAGATTCGGTGTGGACTCCTGAGGTTGTCTCCGTATCACTGAGCCTGAGTCATTGTCTATTATGAAAGGTGGAAAAAAACACAAGGTGCTAACCAGTTGAAAGGTGTATAAAGAAAATAATTGTTTAAAAGCAGCTGAAGTTTGTTGTAAGGTCAGTTTGGAGAGTACTTACCTTGCATGGTGACCTGGCTTCCATCCGTAGCATCGTTAATGAACCAATAGATAGGTGGATGGATGGATGGATGGAGACAGATGGAAGCTGAGAAGTAAAGTAAAATCATGATGGCTGGGGTTAGAGTTCAGTGACTGAGCCTTGTCCAGCATGTGTGAGGCTGTGGGTTCATCCCTAGCGGACACCTTGTGAGAACTCCTGGGATAAGGTGTTGGTCAGTAGTGATCCTAGCTGTGTTTGTTCCAGTGGCATCCCCCAGGACCTCTCTGATGTCAACAGGAAGTTAGACTGAGGCAGTGAGGCCAAGTGAGTTTGGTAGAGGAAAATTAATTCAAGTCCTGACCGCAGTAACCCACACTCCACCTTTTCTAGCAAAAACCCAGTCCCTAAAGAGCTAGTTAGTCTTCGGGCTAAGTTTCCAGACAGCAAGGGAAGAACAGCCTACCTGCTTGGCACTGGTAGGACAGCCGCTAACGGAAAGTTGCCTATACATCTCTGGCAGATTGGAGCCTGGCTTGAAGCTACCTTTTGTGCAGCCTGAATCAAGGGTAAATGGTAGTCGCAGTGATTTCTTCCCTACATGGGATGCGCTGTGGCTGGCCCCAAGAAACCTAAGGTTAACCCAACTGAGATCACCTTTCCCCTCCTGACTACTGATGTTTATCGGCTCCCCTGCTTCTGACCCTGCGGTGGCTCATGTTCTGTGCTGGTGCAAGGTGGAAGAGTGGGCTGCCTTCTCCAGAACAAACTCTGACCCAACTAGTGTTCTGGGACCAGCTCTGCAGTCAAGATGTGGTTTTAGTTTTATTTGGGTGGGGGTGGGGATAATTCTAGGGATTGAGGGGTCTCTCTCATACTAGGCAAGAGTGTTTTTACTTTAAACAACAATTCTCCCTAATAGTCCTTTGTGTTTTCCTGGCCCATTGCCATGCGCCTTTGTCTTTGTTTCTGTAATGTTGTTAGGGGCCACACACAATCAGTGCTGAGGTGACCCCCATCCCAGATAGCAGGAAGCCAAATGATCCTACCTTTCTTTGCCGTCTCCATCTGTAGCATGCAAAATGGAGCAGTGATGGGGGCAGGGTGTATGGATTTGGTGGCAGGACCAAAATCAAGATCCAAGGAATGTTCTGGCTGTTTTTTTTTCTTTCCCTCCAAAAAAGCCTTGCACTTTTCAAGGGCCCTGTATCCATGCTGACCTGTCTTTTAGGACGAGCCTGCACAGCGGGAGACACCTGATCTTTCCCAGGCTGAGATTGAGCAGAAGATCAAGGATTACAATGGTCAGATCAACAGCAACCTCTTCATGAGCCTGGTGAGTTGGCTGCTCAGGCGAGGAGTGTGGGGCGGAACAGAACCCAGCATTGTACCAGATGGCCAGAGTCATAGCCAAAGTAGTCTTGTTTGACTCAAGCAGTGATCTCTGCATACCTGGTCCCGCCCTGGGTGAACTCAACCCTATCCAGTTCAGTCTCCACTAGAACTTCTGTCATGCTGTGGTTTTCTTTCTTTTTTAGAACAAGGACGGCTCCTACACAGGCTTCATCAAGGTTCAGCTGAAACTGGTACGTCCTGTCTCAGTGCCTTCCAGCAAGAAACCACCTTCTTTACAGGACGCCCGGCGGGGAACAGGGCGGAGCACAGCTGTGAAGCGCCGCACCTCCTTTTACTTGCCTAAGGATGCTATTAAGCACTTGCATGTTCTGTCACGAACACGGGCACGTGAGGTCATTGAGGCTTTGCTGCGAAAATTCATGGTAGTGGATGATCCTCGCAAGTTTGCACTCTTTGAACGAACGGAACGTCATGGCCAAGGTAGGTTTCCTATGCCACCTCTCCCTGTGTAAGGGGTATGTGTCACATGCCTGTGCATTCCGAGGCTGAGGCACCTGAGCCTGTTTCTAATTCTTTATCCTTTTCTCTCTGCCTGATCTCCAGTGTACTTCCGGAAACTATCAGATGATGAGCAGCCCTTGAAGCTACGGCTTCTTGCAGGGCCTAGTGAGAAGGCCCTGAGCTTTGTCCTGAAAGAGAATGATTCTGGGGAGGTGAATGTGAGTACATCATCTTATTTTCTTATCACCAGACAAAACTAGTAGGTTGTAGCTACAGTGAGAGTTTCAGGAGAAAATGGAGCTACAGAACAAACCCTGCACAATGTCTCCAAGAATATACAGGCCCTGGAATGAAAGTATAGGCTTCCGGGACACTGGAGCCAAGGTCTAGATCCTTAGGAAGAAGCTGAATCTAGTGGTTCATGTTTGTATCAAGGCACTTGGGAGGCTGAGACAGGAGGATTGCTGAGAGTTTGGGATCAGTTTGGGCCATAAAAACAAGCTAGAAGAACTGTCCTGGTTTTTTGTTGTTTCCTGGTGTGGGATTTGATTGACTCATGGTGAGCCAAGAACAAGTTCAGAGCTACACAGGTGTGGCTGAGAGATGTCTCATCAGTTAAGAGTGCTTGCTGCTTTTCCAGAGGACTCCCGTTCTGTTTGAAGCACCCATGGTCCACTTTCATCTACAACTCTAGCTCCAAAGGATTTGACTTCCTCCTTTGGCTTCAGAGGGTACCTGTACTTATGTGCATAACCCTACACAGACCCAGACATACACAGAATTAAAATAATGGGGCTGGAAAGATGGATCAGTAATTAAAAACACTTATTGATCATGCAAAGGATCCATATTAGGTTCTTAGCATCCACATAGACCATGCACACAGTGCACATATGTGCCTACAGGCAAAACACTTAAACACATAAAACAATTTTTTTTATGTGTATGAACAACAAAAAAACCACTCTACTAGCAAGGCCTAGTACTACCAGTCTGTAATCTCAACTGCTTGGAATGCTGAAGCAGAAGGATCACAAGTTGAAAGCCATCCTGGGCTACAGAGTAACTTAAAGACCTGTCTGGGTTAACTTAGTGGATACTATCTCAAAAAGTAAAAAGACTCGGGGCTATAGTTCAATGGTAAGATGCTTAGCATGTTGGATGCCCTTGGTTCATATCTTAGGGTTTCTATTGCTGTGATGAAACACTGTGACCAAAAGCAAGTTGGGAAGGAAAGGATTTATTTGGCTTACACTTCTACATCATAGTCCTATCATTGAAGGAAGTCAGGGCAGGAACTCAAATAGGGCAAGAACCTGAAGACAGGAGCTGATGCAGGGCCATTGAGGGAGTGCTACTGACTGGCTTGCT